AAATTCTCTATTCAAAAATGAAGGTTACATCCTGGTGACCTGGTGACTTAGCCACCAGTGATGGAACACCAGTTGATTGATCACAAGGTGACAAGTCTATTGTTTTATTCTCCTGGATTAACATTAGGTCAGGTTAAATGACAGTTGGTCACTTTCCCCTTAACCCCTGTTTACTATGAGAACACAATACCTAATGACCAAGTTTGAAGCTGGACATCTCTATCGAAATCAAGCACAATCAACCAAGCCAAAGTGATTCTTGCAAGACTTGTATAACAAAAATTAATGTGATGCACTGAAAATTATCTAGCACACAACTGAGTGAACCACTTCAAGTACATGATGAGTAATTTGTTCATTGAAAAAGAAGAGTTAGCAAAGAGAAAGGATTTTTTCAGTACCTGGTGACCATATGGTAATACTCTCAAATTTAAAACGGAAAACCAAGGCATTGGTAAACTTATAAAATACTGTCCTCATTGCTGTACATCTTAATGTCCCAACCCTTGCTAGATGGCTAGTTCCGCCACACAGAAATGATACATTTAATATCAGGTTGTGAAAGAACTTACTACTACTGGAGCAGGCAGGGAGAATTTGCTCTTTTTCACCAGCCATTCTTCATATCTTTCATGCAAAGAATTTAAAAGTTCCTGTAAGAAGGGAAATCATCTCTTTGAGTCTAGTCCAATTACCTACATGTACAGTACCCATCACAAAAACATTAACCACAAAAAGCACAAAAAATGCACGCAAGTTATCACGTAAACGTGTACATGTTTAAATGAAAATATGCACATCTAAATTTTGCCTACAGCTGTACATGCACATAGACTTGACACATCTGTCTCATTAGTACATAAATGAGCTAGCTTTTTGTTTTTCCATCGTTGACAGTTAATCCCTCTACAGAATAGACTAGAAACATACAGTGTATAGGTATTCTTTCTATCATTAAGTGTGCATAAAATGCAGGCAACAGTGAAAATACTGCAGGTAGAATTTTGCTCTAGTTCTGTATTATTTAAACATTTTGACAATTTAAAGATTTAATCCTCCCTTAAATATTCAATGCATGTTGCTGTCTCACAGGGAATAGCAAAAAAATCAGTAATGCATTTTAAAAGTCTACCATGAGTGGATCTGCTCATAACACATACCATTGACACTGAACTTTCCTCATCTCTACTCCTCTTCTTTATTCTTTCCATACATTTCTCTGGTGATGTTCTGAGGTATACTAGAGTAAATGGGAGTCCAAAAACAATATTGAAAAATTAATATAAGTGATGTTGCAATAAGAAAAAGTTAAATTACAAATCATTATGACTTGGAATTTAACAAAATATGTAATCTACATATATTAAATAAAATAACTACAGCCACAATGTGACTCCTTTTGAATGTTTCTGAGTCAAACTGCAATTTTAGGGGGGTTGATTTTTTGTGGAGGTAGGAAAACTAGATAAACCTGGGTAAAACTCTATGAGAAAGAAAAAAGGGGCACTCCCCTTGTGACACCAAGTTGAAAAACTGAATGTAAGTCCTGGGGGTGCAAGCAAGTGGTCTCACCACTATTATAATACCATCTTGGCTCTCTAAAATTCCTGTTTATGTATCAAGAATCTTGATAATAAATTTTTATTGAAGGGAAGACTGGTAAGAAGTTGGCTCTTGCTTACAAATTATGAATTCAAATCAAATGCAAATGTTGCAGTAAACAAAAAAGAGAAAAAAGTGACAAGTACAAACCTATTAAATCTATCTGAGGCTTTTCATTTGCCATAAGGTAATCAAACCACTCTTGGAAGATTGTATACTCTACTGTTGACAACATACCACTATTTAAAAGAAAATAAAAGGTATATAAATACATAACAAGATAATATCTGAAACAGAGGCCACAACAGTACATAGACCAATGATTGAATAACAACATTTCAAAATAATTTACGTTAGCTTTCAAGCAGATACAGCGCATCCATCATTTCTTTTGTTGCACTCAGAAGAATAATACTGAACAAAATATGTTAGATATCAAGTGATAGAAAGCCAACAATTAATACAAACATTTAGGTGCCTGTTATCAACTGCCGATCAAGAAACATTATAATAATCATAGTCAAAATAATGATCTACAAGAAGAATTGGCATATATTACCCACAACAAAAATTTTTTTGTCAATAGAGTAACAACAAGGACAAATGTGCAATGATGATGGCCAAGACTACGTTTGCTAAACTTAAGAGCAGTCAAGAGGTAATTAAATGGAATTGCACTATTTTCACATGATTTTGAAAAGATTATTTTCACTTTTAACAGCATGTTTCAGTTTACCTTCTATGGAGATTTTCCATGAAGCAGTATCTTGCACTATATGCACTTCTCTCAAGTAGTCTAACAGGTGTAGTCTAAAATAAGAAGACAAAATTATCAAAATGTTACATGTATGTTTTTTTACTTATTAATTAAATTTCAACTACACTGATTATTGTAGGACAAAGTGTTTCAGCTTTATATTACCTGGGGTCTATGGTGAACTTGCATCATAGTGAGAAGGACATAGGACTCAAACAAGTAACTCCATCTCTTTGGATCACTATACATAAGTTCCTAAAAGTCAATTCAATTACCATGATTAAACATATTTTTATTAATTTCTTGGAAGCCTAAAAAAATGGAGTCATCTGGGTTATAGAATGCTATTTTCTTACCAAAGTATTATTTCCATCAACATTCTGCCATTTTTTCACAGGTTCCTCAATAACCTAGGGGACAAAATGCTCTTATAAAAACTTTATACAAAATATTTTATGAATTATTCTATCTTGAAACATGGCTAACAATTACTATTTTAAGTTAGACATTCATGGTATCCAAGGTACTAGGGTTCTTGGGTTTAAAATCACTTGCCATAGCTTTCTGTGTTTTTATATAACCTGTTTTATTTTTTTTTCTATGCACCTCAAAAGGGCAGAAATTTCTCAGTAATGACAGCATTATTTTTTTCAATCCTCTATAAAAAAAAAATGTAGTTCACTGGATAATCATTTAGAATTATTATAAAACAAGATTTTGGAAATATACCTCTACCAATGAATTTTTCTTGAAAAACTTCAAAAGACTTGTCTTTCCACTTCCAATGTTTCCCTCTATGGCCACCTAAATATTAAATACACATATTACAAACTTTTCTCCTATAAACCTAACAATGAGAACTTAAAGTTTTTGATATGGCTACCCTCTGTAATGATGGTACACTACAGAAAAGTTTAAATTTTATAGCTTCCTCTGATTACCAGGTATGTATTATTAATGAATAAGAAAACAAATATATGAGAAAAAACAGAAAAGCAGATAAAATACAGGAAAGTATGATTCTGATACTACATCACCCATAGTAAAAAAAAACTGATCTAGAATATGTACTCACTGTGATGTTTCTGTTCACTGAATGGTCATTGCTCCCATTGACTCCATTACATGTACTAACGTTTCTAATATTTCCAATCATCTTTCTAGATAGGCTGCCTGCATATGTACAAGAACAGGTTTAATTTAGGGGGGTAAGACACTGTATAGAATGGGCCTTCAGATACTCAGGGACCTGGATGTACCTATCAAATTGAAAATAACATTTCTACCATCTAAACTTTTGGCCACAAGCTAGACATTAGCTCACGCTCACGCGTTCATACATATATCAATTTGCGCAACCTCACCATCTACTGAAGTTCAACAAAAAATAATAGACATTTTCCGGTGGCAAATTCACTCCATTTCACAAAATAACTAAATTAAGAAATATGTGAACTATATTTAGCATAAATCTTTTTCCATTAACAAAAAAATCTGCTGCAAAGCTACATTTCTTGCTCAATGAGAAATCCCGAAAAACTAAAGCTCTATCGTTCACTGAAGCTTTCCCTGAGAACACAATTAACCAGAGAACCGCGCGAAAATCGTATTCCTCTTTTAAATTGGCAAAACAATCCAGAAAGAGCAAAAAGAAAAGAAGAAATATTGGACTAACCGAACCAAAGGATGGTCTCGTACTGCATTCTTCCTTGTAAAGTTTAGTTTAAAGGCTTTATAGAGAACCTAATGCATGTAACATTTGAACTACGCGCGCAAACTTTTAGCCACTCGGTACACGAGTTGGCGATTTTGCCTGAACTTGCCCATATGACATCACATCTCACAACAAGGACGAGGAATACGCAGTAATATCGTCCAAATAATAAATTTGGAATATAAATATTTGATTTACGAGAGGAACCAATTCTTACCTTTCAAACCGGGCTTCGTTACTCTCGACAAGAGCGCGAAAAGCGAGTGACATTTGAAGGTCATAATTTATTTTGAACACGTCGTTGTGTTTCAGCCAGCGGAGTCCTGATGTCCATGTCACGCAATGTAATGTCTTAACCGTCACTCTTTGTCGCACCATGTATATGGAGGCATTGTGATTTCCCGTCAAAAAATTTGGCGCCGTGAAAGAAAATTGTGACATCTATCTGTAAAACCCTGTGAAGAAACTAGTACTAATCAGTAACTTTCATTTGGAAAGATTGCAAAATTAGCAACGAGGTGGAGCTCAAACTGCCTTCTGCACGGCAGGGAAGTTTACATTTCGAAACATTTCTTTGTTTTTTGAGATTCACTTACGTATTTCATTGATTAACGCTATATCAACCAAGAAGAAATGCATTGCAGGCCACGTGAGAAGTTACATCAACCCATTCTGTTCGTCTTTTACCTTTTTTCCTCCTTTGATCTTTTAGGCCTTGTTTTGATTTACTGTTACTAGTTTTACAGTACTTAAGTCCGTTTCTTTCTTATGTCATCCTGTAAAATAAAACATTCCTGTTAGGTAATTTTTTCTCGTCAACATTAACAAATGTCTTTCAGTCCGCTAAAGTGAGTCCTACCCAGTCAATCCCTTTCAAATACGTGGCAGATCAGAGAAAGACTGGGTACGATTTTTGTAAAAATCAAAATGGAGACTGAGCAGCAGGATAAGAAAATTTTGAAAACTTCCATGCGTTCTTACTTGGAAGGTTTCTACGATTGGGTTCTAATGCCGAAGCTTTTTAAAGTACCCTTTTATTTGTTTGTTGTTGTGGTATGTTCATTCATCCACGGTTTTCAACCGCTTCCTCAGTCCTATCTCTCGAACAAGAGAAATGTCTTAAACGTGTATTTTGTCAAGTTTGGCTGGGGTTGGACACTTCTTGTTTTAATTCCCTTCATATCCTTTACTTCGTCCCTATACACTTCTTTGAATCCGTTGGCGATACTGAAACACCTAAGAAGGATGGCTGTAGCCACATGTGGATGGTATATTTGGGTGAATCTGTTTGTTTAC